ATAGCTTTCAGTTTCCACAGTTTCTGTGAGGGATGAGTTATTCGATACTGACCTGTCCTAAGGAGGAATATAAGGATGAAAGGTGAAACAAGACAATCTCCAACCTTAAAATTTGGTCATAAGCATGCAAAAAAGGGTGAAGCAGTTGCAAAGGGAAGTGTGGGCTTGACTAAGAGTCAAGTTTCACTTAAGTTCTTGTTCCAGCCTCATCATTATTCATCACAACATTTTAAAAAGTACCTAGTTTCCCCCCAGCAGTGCACTTGTACACAAGTTACAGTATACAGACCTGACAGAAGTATATTTAAATAAACACAGTGGACAAAAGGACGAGTGGATAATGAAATGTTAAAGCCAAATACAGGACATGATGCCCATGACGTCCCCAAGAATTCTGATGACGTTAGCTGTCTGCTAGTGTTCGCTTTCTCTGTCTTGAATTCTAAACCATATTTCCTGCTATTTACAACCCATGAATTGTCTCTCTGCCACATCACACTAAACACGTCAAAGACTGAACTTTGTCTTCTTTCCAAAGACCTTTCCCCTCCCCTATTTCCTGGTCAAACTTCCCATCCTGCCTCCAGAGTCCTGGAGCCCTGGTTCACTGATTCTCACAACTATTACATTGTTGTATGTGGGCCTCCCTGATGGCGCAAGGGGTAAAGTTACAACACTATGAAGTAATCCGAAGCTACAGCAGCACGAGTTTATCGCAGGCCAGGGAGCTGACCCACATGGCGCAGCAGACCTCTCCTGTCTGGCCTGCTGCTCCCCTCAGCAGTGTGTTTCAGTAAATCTGCCTGTTCTGCTGCCCACTCTGTCTCTGTGAATCCTCTCGCAACCCACCCCCACACACGCACATACCTCTGGCCTGTACCTCAATTCTTGTATGCATAAATAAATCTTTAAAAAAATAAATTATTGTATGTGTTCACTTCTGCATGTGGAGTTCATATTATCCACATTATTTCATCAGTTGCTCACCTTAATGCATGTGCCCATTTTTATGATTGTGCAGAGTAATGGTGTCCCTGTAATTCATGAGCTACTAGAAGATAGAAGTGCTGCTGTTTCAACTCCTTGTATAGTATTGGTGATAGTGCCAGTTTGTCATCTTTCCTGTCAATTCTGAATGTTAGCATTGCAGTTATTTTTCCAGCCCATAACTTCCACTATTTATTCTCCAACTATAAACTATGTAATGAAATCCTAAGGCTGTCTAAATCAGCTGTCTATCTTAGCACCATAAGCCACAGGCATATGGAGCTTAGGAAAGATGTTACTCAGTCATTATTGCAACTAACTGTAAAACAATAAATCCACAGCCACATTTTGGTTCAATTTCCTGATCTCTGTAAATTACAGGCAATCTGTACAATGATTGCTTCCTGCACTATCTAATCTACTTTACAGGTTGTGAACATTTTATGAAATTATTTATATCAAAGTGCCTTGATAAGTGAAAATGAAGTGTATGCATGTAGGATGGCGATGGTACTCTATTTTCTTATTTCCCTTGGTTAGTTTTTGGGGTCCATCTGTTGGGTTACAGCCAAGGTATTTTGTTACCATCCCTTCTGGTTCAACCTTAGCTTATACCATTCTTATTGTTATCTAAATAGCTGCTTTTACTTCTTAAACCAGGATCCACCCTACCCCTTTCAAAGCACAGTTCAGAGCCACCTCCTGTGGAAAAACTTGTCAGTCTAGCAGAAGGAAATGAAAAACTTCCAGATAAGCCATTGTACCACTCCCTGGGATTCCCCCAATCAGCAGTGTTTAGTATCTAGCCTACCAATGTAGAAACTTTTATAGGCTTCACCATATAAAAAATACTTTCACATTATCATTCTTAAAACATTCTCACGAATGTGATATATTAAGCTTTTTTTTAATGAAAAAATTAAGGATGATTTCCCCAAGTGCATGATAAAAAGGAGGGAAGGAGTCATAGACCTGGGTTTACCACTTACTAACACCACCCTGGTAGCTCTTACAGAAATAGAATCAGATCTTAGCTCCCATACCTCTCCTTCAAGAAAGCCTTCTTTGAGAGTCTACTCTGGACCAAATTCCCTTATAGGCTCACAAACAACAGGTAATTCCTTTCCCACCAAGCCTCTCGGGTATAATGTTACAGTAATGTGGTTGTTTGATTATTGTCTTCTCTCTTTCTCTCTCCTGAGAGCCCCATCACTGATGTCCGCTTTCCTTTCCATAAATTTTTCTGAGCCTATTAGAGTACTTATCACATGTAAGTTACTCAATTTTGTTAGATGAAGGAGAACTGAAATGCACACTTTGATTCATTCTAAATTTAATCACTGCTCTTAGTCTGGGAAAAATATGTTAAGACGATGCGGGAGAGGAACAGAATGAGGTAAAAATGTTACTTCTCCATGATACAAGTTATAATAAAATTCAAAGGATTTGAGGTCGGGGGAACAGTACGGGTCACTTCAGTCTGGGAGGACACCACTTCCACTGAAGATGTGTCCCCCACTGACGAGGCACATGCAGAACGACGTTCTCGCCCCAAACCCCGGGGTTGCAATTCCGTCCTTCACTTCCGTACAATGACCCAAGATGGCGGGCTCCGTGATTGGAAAGCAGGTTCAAGATGGCGGCTCCCTGCTTCTCCCGCAGCGTCGTGCGTGGCCACGAAGTCCACGCCCACTTCCGGCTCCTCGGACTCAGCATGGCTGCTTTAGGTACTCTTCTCTCGAGTAAGTGGGACTAGGGTGGGTGGGCTCGCGGTCCCGCGCGCGCGGGCCCGGGACTCCTAAACTAGCCAGACGCCCTTCTCCCCATTCTGCCTTGCTTTTTCCCAGCAGGTGTCCGGAGGCTGCATTGCTGCGCGGCGGCTCGGGCGGGCAGCCCGTGGCGACTCCAGTGAGTGCGGGTCTGGAGGAAGCTGGGGGAACTGAAGCTGGGCTGGGTTCTCACCCAGCTGTTTTTCTCCACCCAGGCAGGGCCTGGCTCCCAATCCTTCCGGCTACGGGCCCCTCACGGAGCTGCCAGATTGGTCTTACGCAGGTGAGCGCTGATCTGACCGTTAACTCGCCTAGACAGATGGGAGCGGGCGAGTATCCATGTGGGGGTGTGTCTGAGTAGAAAATGTATTGAATTTTATTTTGAGTTGGGTGTAGAAATTTCTGTTGTTAAGTTTATAAATTAAAGTACGTCTATAGAAAGTAAAGAAAGACAGGATCATCATGGCTTGTGGGGATAAGGAGAAGATTATTCGGACTTGGGGCATCCCTGGGGAGGGAGTGACAGGACATTCACGTTTCTCAAAGCGGGTCGTGATTTTTTTCATAGTTAGGAAAAATCTCCCTTCTGTGTGGTGAGTTCATTTGGAGAATTTAGTGCCAGATGCAGGGAGAGCTCTTTGAAAGGCTGCCTAAATGAGCTTCTCAGGGAGAGGGGTAGAAGGAAAGGTGAGTATTAAGATCATTTCAGAAGTCTCTTTACCTTTACTTTAAGAAGGTGTGGGGGCGGGGGGGGACAGAATGATAGATAGAAAGAAAACAGACAGTAGATATTATCCCTAGAAGAGAAGAACCTTAGAAAAGTTGAACCCACGTCCCACATGGAACTCCAGTTTATAGGTGGGAAAGTTGAGGCCTATGGAAGTGAATTGTCTGTGATCACACATCTAGGTAATAACAAAGACAGGATTAGAACTGGGCAGAGGCCAGGCCCCCTTCAACATCCCCAAGACAAGAACTGGGGTACAGGCCAGAGATGTGGGGAATGAGAGGATTCACCAGAGACAGAGTAGGGAACAGAACAGGCAGACTGACCGAAGTACACTGCTGAGAGGAGCAGCAGGCAAGACAGGAGAGGTCTGCCTCGCCTTGTGGGTAGCTCCCTGGCCGGCCAGGGATCAAACTCATGCTGCAGAGGCTGCGGATTGCTTCATAGTGCAATGCTTAACCCCTTGCACCACCAGGGAGGCCCCTGGAATTGACTTTTTAATCCAAGCTTTTCTGCTTGCTAACACTGTGGTCTTAGCCAGGCTATTTAATTGTACCTTTCAATTTTCACATCTGTAAAAGAAGAATACCTGTCTCCTGCGGCTCTTGTAAAGATAAAATGAAGCGACCAATGTAAAGTACCCTGCATATACAACATGGATTCCCTTTCCTGACAAATAATATCTCTTATCTCTTGCCTTCAAGGTTTCAGTTTTTGCTCTGTCTCTTTTTTGGTAGAAAGTGTCCTTTTTCTTCATCTCCATTATAAATTACTTGAGATCAGATAAGGCAACTTTTCAGCCAGTCAGAATTTTTTGCAGAATTTTTTTTAAGATTTATTTACTTAAGTGTATAAGAACTGGGGTATAAGCCAGAGGTGTTAGGGGGTGAGAGGAGACAGAGGGGGGAACAGAACAGGTGGATCTACTGAAATACTCTGCTGAGGGGAGCAGCGGGTGAGACAGGAGAGGTCTGCGGCACCATGTGGGTTAGCTCCCTGGCCAGGGATCAAACTCAGGTCATGGTGGTAAACCCCATGAGACTTAACCCCTATGCCACCAGGGAGGTATCTACAGAATTTTTATTATGTGCTTATGTGCCTACTCTATACTATAGTAACAACTAGTGATACAGTCTCTGATCATAAGGAGCAAGTCTAGCTGAGGAAATAAAACATGGACATTTTAAGAAGTTAAATACTTCAGTGCTCTGCCCCAGTCCAAGGATTCAAGATGGCTAACCCTAAGAACAACCGTATAGGGGCCTCTCTAGTGGTGCAGGGGTTAAAGACACGCTATCAAGCTATGGCCAGCCACTGCACCATGAGTTTGATTCTTGGTCTTCCCGGCCGGCCAGGCTTCTGACCCACATGGTACAGTAGATCTGTCTGTTCTGCTCCCCATTCTGTCTCTGGTGAATCCTCTCACTCCCCCACCCCACACCTCTGGCCTACACCCCAGCTCTTATATGTATAAATAAATCTTTAAAAAAAAAAAAAAAAACAAGGGCCTCCCTGGTGGCACAGGGGGTTAGGACACAGCCTATGAAGCTATCCGCAGCCACTGCAGCATGAGTTTGATCTCCAGCCAGGGCTACCCACATGGCACAGCAGACCTCTCCTGAGTAACCCGCTGCTCCCCTCTGCAGTGTATTTCCGTCAGTCTGCCTGTTCTGTTCCCCACTCTGTCTCTTGTGAATCCTCTCACCCCCCACACCTCTGACCTATACCCCAGTTCTTGTATGCATAAACAAATAAATCTTTGTTAAAAAAAAAAAAAAAGAACAACGGTATAATAAATGTCCCAAAGCAAACAGGTAGATATTAAATTGATGTGTACTTCTTTCAGAAGTGAGAGCTGAGGGAGTTGAAGAGGATAGAAGATTTCTGGGACAGGCAGGACTTGAGGTGGGCAGAAGGATGAGAATTTGCCTGGACGGACAGGAAAAGAGGCCCTTGTTACTTTATGGAATGAGCCAGAATTTAGCGAAGACAGAGTGAGTAGAAGAGTTATCAGATTGCTTTGAGTGGAGGGTTTCTGAAAATAAAACAGGAGATTCAGCATTGCAGAGGACTTTGAATTCCAGACTAATAAGGGGTAAGTAGGAACATGCCTAGGAGATTATTCTTGGTTGTACTAGCATACCTCGCCCTTGAAGGTGAAGGACAATGTGGTAGGTGAATTAAGCTGCAGTGGGTATGAAATGAAAGGAACTAAAAATTGGTTTTTGCCTCATTCCTGTCACGGTGCTTTACAAGGTACTGCAGGCCATCTCTGACACTTGCCTTTTCTCTCACTTTTTTCCCACAGATGGCCGCCCTGCCCCTCCAATGAAAGGGCAACTTCGAAGAAAAGCCCAAAGGGAAAAGTTTGCAGTGAGTGGCCAGAGCAGCCAGTGTATAACAAGAGGGCAGAGGTTAAGGAGTGTAATTTGTGTTGAACCATGTTGGCACCTAAGCTAATACGCTGAAGTTTGGACAGCCAAAGGGAGGAACAGAGTGAGGCACTCCTAGGGCAGGACCCAGTAGTAGACGTTCAGCCATGTATTTTGCTGCTCTGCTGCTACTTCCCAGCCCGAGGCTGGGTCCCACCCCTTCCCCAATGTCATTTTCTAGCTGAAACCTCTGGCTTTGATCTGTGGGTGAGAGGATGTGTGGCACAGAGCTCAAGCCCCAGATGTTATCCTCACTGTCTTCCTGTCTATTTCAGAGACGAGTAGTATTGCTGTCACAGGAAATGGATGCTGGATTACAGGCATGGCAGCTCAAACAGCAGGAGAAGTTGCAGGAAGAAGAAAGGAAGCGGAAAAATGCCCTTAAACCCAAGGGGGCTCTACTGCAGAGCCCACTGTCAAGTCAATAAAAGCAATTCCTGTCTCCTTTTCCCAGTCTTTCTCTGACTTCCTTTTCTGTCACCTAGATGTCTCACCCAGACAGACAAGAGCCTTTATGCTCCCCATCTGTCTTCAGAGCAAAAAAGCTTGGACACCAGGAAGAATGGACAGTGAGATCACTAGAAGTGTTGGCTCAGTGCCCTCACCCCTGACTTCAGTTCAACAGAACCTTGCTGTGGGAGAACTCTCCCCACTTTTACAGCCCATAGGAACTGGCCAACACTGACCAGTAGTGCTCTGTGGACATGGAGAGTGGCAGCCATTTTCCTGGGTTTTTGCCAGGCATTTAAACCTTTTAACATCACACTACAGCTCAGACCAACTGTGTTCAGGCATTTAATAAATGTTGTGATGAAAAAGCCTTTCCGGCAGAGGCCCATTTCTTGGCAAGCAACTAGTGTCAGTTTTCCTAAACTTTAGATCTATAGTCCAGGAGGGGACCCCTTCTGAGAAGGCTGACATGGGCAGAACCAGACTTGGGTGTTGCGTATTCTGCTAAGAGTTGGATCTTAAGATTTCCATGGTTCTGACTGAACTCCAGAGGTCAAGTGGACAAAGGCCTGTACCTTCCACACCACAGTATAGGGGAGGCCCAAAGGTGCTCAGCCCCCAATAACTGGGATTGGTATCAAGTATCCACCATATATCACCCCAAATCTGATAGCTGCCCAGGACCCAGACAACCTTACATTATATCAATCATGGATTCTGGAGGGAAAGGACCTTTGTCCCTATTACAATCCAGAGTGATGGACTTTTCTTCCATTCTCCTGCACAAAACGTAACAGTTCCTGAATCTCTGGGATTTCTGGAGCTTCCTACCTGACCTTTTGGTCCAGCATCCTATTTCTTTCCTTGCTTGCTTTCTCTTCTTTCTCCCTGCTACCTCCTTCCTCTCTCTGCTAACCAATGCCAATTCTTGGATCTTAGATTTTGCTGATGGTCAAATTTTCTGTCTCCCACACTTTTCCTGCTTCTGCTGCTTTTCCAGATCCAGTCTTAACCTCTTATCTCTCTCCCATCCTCAGCTTCTGTCGTCTTTCCCACCCTCAGCTTTAGCTGCTCACCTTCCCTGCGGACCTCCACCTTTTGTTCTCAGAGCCTAGGCTCTCCTTGAAAGATTTTCTTCTTTAAGAAATTACCTCCTTTTCCAGTGTAGAGGGACAACTAAACCCCAAAACTCTTCTCTTTTCTAACTATTTTGCCATTTGTGTTTCCCCAGATTCTATGGCCTTGACCCTTTTCCTCCCCAGCCAGTTCTAATTTAAGGAGCAGCCAGATCACATATGACAGTAATGAAGAGAACAAACTTGTCTTTCTATAAAGACAGGAGCCCCAAATCCAGTGTGATTGCAGGTAGTTGGGTTTTGTTATTGTTGTGGGGGTTTCTTGGCAGGGGAGGACATTGGTGGTTCAAGGACGGAGGTCAAGAACAAGGACAAAAGTTTCAATTTGATTGGGCCACAGGTCTCAGCAGACAACCCCTAACCCAGGTCTCAGATATGGAAAACCTACCCCAGCGCCATCCCAGACTCTGAACTTGCTTGCTCCAGCCACTGAGTGTCCCAGAGTTTCCCACTCTGAGGTGAGACAATCGCTGAATACCAGAGAAATCCAACCACCCAAAATATGCTTAGGGAGAGAAAGTCTCCCACATCCCGTCTCCTGGATCCCCCCTCACAGCCCCCAGCTCTCGCAGCGGCCTCAGCCCCTGCAGATGGCAGCCTCCACCACAGAAAGGCAACTTCGGGTTTTTTCACCCGGCTCTTGGCTGTAATTGGATTCAGGCTGAAACAACCACGTCCGCACCGGGAAAGGAGGGCATTGGGGCGGGGGCGGAGGAGAGGCCGTGGGAGAAGGGAGGGACCAGAGAGCGCGAGAGGACTCCCGATCCAGTTCGCCGACTAAGCAGAAGAAAGATCAAAAAAACGGCAAAGAGGGGACGAGCAAACAGGCGCTTTCAAGAACAACCCCCTCCTCGCCCGGCGGACAGCGCTCTAGGAACCCAAAGTCTGTGCCACCGAAGACAAAGGCGCCCCGAGGGAGCGGCGCGCGACCTCTGGGCTGGGGCCCGGCCGCTGAGCCCGCTCGGCCCGCTCCCCGCTCGGTCGCGGACCATGTCTCGAGTCCCGCCACCCGCCCGCGGTCTGCTGCTCCCCCTGCTCACGCTCGGCACCGCGCTCGCCTCCCTCAGCTCGGCCCAGAGCAGCTTCAGCCCCGAAGTAAGTGAGCAACTCCGGCGCTGCCCGGAGCCGCGCGCGCCGAGGAGGCGAGCCCGGGGGTCTCCGGGGAACAGCCCCCTCCGGAGAGGAGGGCGCTCGGGGTCCCGGCTGCTCCGGCCTGCAGGATCACCCCCTCCTCCCCGCGCGCTCCTTTTCCATTCCCTCCTCGCCTCCAAACTTCAAGTCGATCCAACTTCTGCCTCCTCCACCAGCTCTCCCCCACCCCACCCCGCAGCCGCCGCCAACTCTCTTTCCCATTCCTTTCCTTGGAACAGCTCTCCAGCCGGGCCCCGGGTCCCCACCCTCCTCTGGGCTCTGAGATCAGCTCTGGAACCGGTTGGGAGCCAGATAAATATTTGGACTCCGCGCAAAAAAAAAAAAAAAAACCCGCGCTATCCCGATTTCTTGTCAAGTGCGAGCGTTTGTTGTTTCTTCGACTTTCCAGCTCCCCAGCGCTCTCCGCCCGCGCGCGCCGGCGCTAGGGCGCCCCGGGAGGGCTGAGGCGGACTGGCCCCCGGCTCCGGCCCCCCACGCTGCGGCCGCCGCTTCCCGCCTCGCGGGCGGTCCCGGCCCTCCGCCACTGCATCGCGGCCAGGTGGGGGGGGGGGGCAACGGAGCGGCCCCGGCCCCCAAAGACCCCTGCCGCCCCAGAAGCCCCCGAATCCCGGCCCGCAGCCCTGGCTCTGGGGTCGCGGCGCGAGCGCCCTGGGCGCGCTTCCGTGTGCACAAAGCTCTCCTTGTGAGCCTGCGGCTCAGCCCCGCCGCTCTGCCTCCCCTGCCCCTACCCGGTCGGCGCCCTCGCGTCCTTTTTGTCGTTTTTTGTTAATTGTTTTTTGTGTTAATTGCAGGGAAACTGGGGGCTTCGCGCGGGGGAGAGGGGAGAGGGCCTGGCCCGGGTGCTCATACATGCCTGGACTGACTGGCGGCCCCAGCCCATTCCCTGACGCTGGCCCACAGGGCCAGGGAGGAAGCGGCGTGGGAGTTGTCTGAATAGGTTTTTCCTCTTTCCCTCTTTTTTATTTTGGGGTGAAGGTGAGAGACGGATTTGATCAGCTTCTTATTTTGGGCCATCCCTACCCACTCAGCCGGCGAGGGCCTGGGTGCGGTCGGGAGGGGCCGGGACGGGCCAGGACGGGGGGAGGGGATCTGGACTTGGCTGCTGCTGTCTGTCCTGATCCCACTAGAGAAGGTACAGGGCTCTGACCGTAGGAATGGCCGTTAGGAATGGAGGTGACCAGGGCGAGTAAAAACCTGCCCTGAGGCTAAGCCTGAGAAGGACAAGGAGGAGGAGACATCCTTTCACCAAGCCTGGAGAATTCATCTGAGGCCTGAAAGGGAGAGCTCCTAACAAAAGGAGCCTGGGCATCTGGGGGGCTGCCCGCTGCCAACTCTGCCTGCCCTAGCCTCCCTAGGGGAGGGGCGGCAGCCCTGGCTCTGTTTTAAGTGGGTCTCAGGCAGTCCCAACCCAGAACCACCATTTGCTTCTGGGACATGAGGTGGGAAGCAGAGGGGGGCAGGCACAGGGCCTGCTGGAGAGCCAGAGATGCCCTCCACCCTCTTCAGGACTCCTAAGCCAGAGCTGGGAGAGTTCCCTCAACTTTCCCCCAGGGGAATACCTCGTACCATTCAATTTTCAAGACAAAGCCTGACTGAGTTCTCTGGCCCCAGTAGTTGCTCCCTCTCCAGGCGGATCTGTGGGGAGAGCTGAGGTGGCCCAGGCCTAGGGCTGCCTGGTCCCTCCCACCAGGCCTTCATAGTCTTGTACCAGGACAGCCCTCTCTTCCCCCTTGGCCTGTCTGGCTCTGGGCCCTTTCCCCACCCAGCCGCAGACACTAGAGTCCTCTCTTCTGTGGTTCCGACCTCACAGTCTCCTCTGTAGTTCATGCTTTACTCAGCGCCTGCCCTTGTGACATGGAAAGAAGAAAAACCTAGGCCTGGGAGGAGGAGAGGGGCACTTCCTTTCCAAGCCCTGCGGCTCTATAGATTCCAAGGAAGTCCCCGTTTCTTGACTAAGCCTCTGTTTTTCTTTTGGGTATCTATCTGGTGGAGGTTGTGGGTGTGAATACTGAGACAGCTTACCTTCTTAAACAACTCATCCAGGGGATTTACCCCAGAACTTGTGGATGTCGATTCTCCCCACCTCTCTGTCACCCTCTCTCCTGTCATCCTGCCCTGAGAGAATTCCCCACATCAATCTGCAGAACTACTAGCTCCAGGAATAGGCCACGCCTGTCTTTTCCCAAAGCTCAGGGGTCATATAAGTCTGGGACGTGTCTACCCTGCAGGTGAGACTAGGGGTAAAGGGAGTTTCCTGCATACTTGGGCACAGGCCACAGCAGGCCTCCCTTGGGCACTAGCTGTGACTTCAGCCAGCACAGGTCAGGGCAAGCCTACAGCTCCCAGAGAGCAGCCCAGGACAGGAGCACCCTGCCCTGCTTCCCTCTGGTATGCCAGAGATAAACTTGAGGAGGGGCTCTCAGAACCTCGTGGTGCTGAGATTTGTTTTGGCCAGGCCTGTTGGCTAGGGAAAGGCTGTGTTTACATCTCAGGCCCTAACTCCCCTTCAGCCTTTGGGGATCACTTCCCAGAATCATGTTGCAATTCTTGCCCCTATGAGCTCAGGTCCCTGTCAGCTGCTCCTGAATCACCCCCAACCCCAATGGGAGAGCACTGCAGCAAACCAGGGCCTGGGACTAGAGGGAAAGGGCTACCCGGAGATCCAGTGTAATGCCCTGGGATAAGGAGTCCAGCATGGACTGCAGCCTCTAGCCCTCTGCACAATAAACTCCAACTCAGGCAAGCTGCACCCCCACCCCCCACCCCCGGCCGCCCTCTGGAATCCTTAAGAAGGCAAAGCTGGAGCAGGGACCACAGCATAATAACCTGGCTTATTTTACCTTTTAGACATTTGGAAAATACTCCATTACTCCTTTAGTAAAGGCTGCCTTTTTCCTCACAGGTCTTTGCAGTGTATGTACCTTTCAGTCAAATACCAAAAGCCTTTATATTGCAAATAAGTCATAGCATACCTAGAATAAAATACAGTCACCAAGTCACCACTGCTCCATCTTCCCCTCCCTCTACTGAAAACCTTAAATGGACTTTTAGGAACCAAGTTCCAAGTCAGATGCCCCTTGTTTGGGACTACTAGGATCTTGGCTGTGTGTGGGATCACACCCTTCACCACCTCCAAAGGCCCCACTTTCCCTATCAGCAGCCACCCTCAGTCCTGGCTGCTTGTCTGCCCTCCTTTCTGAAAAGATATCAGCTATGAGAGTCCTGGAGTTATGGCATCCCTGCCCCAGGAGGCTCCCATACCAGACCTCCTGCAGCCTCCACCCACCCATCATGGGCACAATCCAGTCATGGGGTGGGGGGGGAAGAATGCTGTATTTACAATAGTGAAGGAAAGTGCTGGTATATTTCTCAGCCCTGAGAAGACAACCTAGAACTCAAACCACCAGGTCATCCATCCTCAAGACAACTATAACCAAAGCCTGTTCCCACCCCTGTCTGAGTCCAGAGTTCCAGGATGACAAGCCATACTGGGGCCTGGCCACAGTTTGGGTCCAGCCTGAGAATTCCTCCAGACCCACTGTCAGAGCCAGGCGTGGCACTTGTGCCCTTTCCTTACTGAGCCAAGGGTGCATGCCAGGTGCCATGGAGGAGGCAGAGGCCTCCCTTGGACGAGTTGGGGATGCTAAGCCACATCACTTTCCCTACAGGCCTGGCTGCAGCAGTATGGCTACCTGCCCCCTGGGGACCTGCGTACCCACACACAACGCTCACCCCAGTCACTGTCAGCTGCCATCGCTGCCATGCAGAGGTTCTACGGTCTGCGAGTGACGGGCAAGGCTGATGCAGACACCATGAAGTAAGTGCTAGACCTTAGAAGGAATTCTGCCCAGCACCCACTGATGTGACCTTGAGCCCCACAAAGGTTGCTGCCTGCAGGCTTGGCTCCTGCGCCCATACCTTATCCCTACACTCTGATCCCGACCCTTCGAACCTCATAACCGTGGCCCTTCCCCATGTGACCCTGGAGCCAGACATTTCCCCTCTTGGAAGATCTTTGCTCTTCCATACACCACACTTACCCAAATCCTCACTCTCCGACCCACCCCAGAGCCATGCGGCGTCCCCGCTGTGGTGTTCCGGACAAGTTTGGAGCTGAGATCAAGGCCAATGTTCGAAGGAAGCGCTATGCCATCCAGGGCCTCAAATGGCAGCACAATGAGATCACTTTCTGGTGAGTCCAACAGGCAAGTGGCCTTTCTCACATCGGGTTACCTTTCCCTATCAGCTGACAGAGACTCAGACCTCCTGCCCTACTCACCTCTGTTCCTGGGAAGCTTCCTTGGGAGTTGGGAAGAAAATGGCTATAACCCTGGAAGAGGTGCAGCCTGCAGAGGGTACACCCCAGAGCCAGAAAGCCAAAGCCTGAGGGTCCCCTCGAGCCCTCAGTTTTTGGGGCAGAGACATTGTGAGGCTGCAGGAAGTGCTGGGTCAGGCAAAGGTGGCTGGGCAGTTCACTCGGACCCGGGAGAATGCAGGGAAGGAAAATTTTGCCCCTTGTTAGCCTAACACACTCCCATCCTCTCCCCACACGACTGGACCTCAGCATCCAGAATTACACCCCCAAGGTGGGCGAGTATGCCACATTCGAGGCCATCCGCAAGGCTTTCCGTGTGTGGGAGAGTGCCACACCACTGCGCTTCCGAGAGGTACCCTATGCCTACATCCGCGAGGGCCATGAGAAGGAGGCCGACATCATGATCTTCTTCGCTGAGGGCTTCCATGGTGACAGCACACCCTTTGATGGCGAGGGCGGCTTCCTGGCCCACGCCTACTTCCCAGGTCCCAACATTGGAGGGGACACCCACTTTGACTCTGCTGAGCCCTGGACTGTCCGGAATGAGGATCTGAATGGTGAGCGAGGTAGCCCTAGGACTCTTACTCACGGGCGAGTCCATGATCGTTTGTACAGGGGTTCTCCTAACTCCTCCCAAAAGTTCAAACCCCAATATCTCAGGCCACAAGGGACCACAAAGATCTCTTGGTCTCTCTTCCAAAGAACGCAAGAAACCTGTATTGAGCTATTTACATCTGGTCCCTTCTCTCACCCATTAATTGACTTGCCAACGACTTAAGAACATCCAGTCACCCACCTTTCCAGGAAAATGTCACCTCTAGCTCCTGGGAGAAACTGAGATCCAGATAGGGCCTCAGTTCCCCTCCATATAAGACTTCCTGGGATTGGGATTATCCCCAGAGCACTCTCTTCCCTCCATCCCAAGGAGGTTACCGACAGGCTTCGTGCCTTAGCTGCCAAATATGAGGCTGGATCTCAGCAGTCAGTCACTTTGGGTGCAAAACATGGCAGGCAGGATTGGGTGTGCAACTGAAGCCTCTGGTGGGGAAGCCCAGAATCTGAGGGAAGGATCCTCAGTTAGTTTTGCCTGTCACCATAACCACCCCCATCCCTCCAGGGAATGACATCTTTCTGGTGGCTGTGCATGAGCTGGGCCATGCCCTGGGCCTCGAGCATTCCAGTGATCCCTCAGCCATCATGGCACCCTTTTACCAGTGGATGGACACAGAGAACTTCGTGCTGCCTGACGATGACCGCCGAGGCATCCAGCAACTTTATGGTGAGTAATCTACACCCATATCTGCTCCTTGTCCTCTCCTGGTCTATCTGAAGGTGCCCACCCCCTCATCTGACCCCACCGCTGTTCACTCCCACTCATCTGCCCTGTCCTTTCCTAGCTGATGGCTTCAGCCACCCCTAAAGATCCACAGCATTCCAAGGGTGTTTCTGCCCAGATTCTGTCTCTTTTCTCCTTCTCTGCCACCTAATCTGAAGTTCCCCTCTTCTGCTCTCCCAGGGAGTGAGTCAGGATCCCCCACCAAGATGCCCCCTCGACCCAGGACCACCTCCAGACCCTCTGTTCCTGATAAGCCCAAAAACCCCACCTATGGGCCCAACATCTGTGATGGGAACTTTGACACCGTGGCCATGCTCCGTGGGGAGATGTTTGTCTTCAAGGTGAGAGGAAGAAGTGAGCTGGTTTGGGGTCTCTGACCAGGAGGCTAAGTGGAAACTGCAGCAGGCGGGCCAAAAACTAAGATTGAGCCAGACGGGGAGCTTTGGGGCTGTTGAGAGGACCAAACTACTAGACCTACTGTACTGTTCCCACCTGACTGCCTCTCCAGGAGCGCTGGTTCTGGCGAGTGAGGAATAACCAAGTGATGGATGGATACCCAATGCCCATCGGCCAGTTCTGGCGGGGCCTGCCTGCTTCCATCAACACTGCCTACGAGAGGAAGGATGGCAAGTTTGTCTTCTTCAAAGGTAACCAGGCATTCTGCTATTGTCTTTGGCGTGGGGAGTGTCTGGAGGAGCGGATTCCCCTTGACTCCTCTGAAGACCCCTCAGTGGAACCCCAGCCCTGCCCTTCTCTCTCCTCCCCAGGAGACAAGCACTGGGTGTTTGACGAAGCCACACTGGAGCCTGGCTACCCCAAGCACATTAAGGAGCTGGGCAGAGGACTGCCTACCGACAAGATCGATGCTGCTCTCTTCTGGATGCCCAATGGAAAGACCTACTTCTTCCGAGGAAACAAGTAAGACCTCACCCCACTTTATCCTTGAGATGTTTCTCATTGGAGAAGGAGCTGGCTGGGCCTCTGCTGTGGCCCAGCACAGCAGCCTCCTCTGCATGCCGAGTGAGTGGGATGTGACCGGGTCACCGTTTCAGACCTGGTCATTTGATGCCTCCTGCCCCAGCACCGTGCCTCCGCCCCAGCAGCCAGGCACTGTCATTACGGGCTGCTGGTGGCTCCTTGCAGCCCAGCCCTCCTTCCACCCCCACCTTCCGCTGCTGTCAGCTGCAGGCCCTCATTACACAGAACCTGGCCCCCACCCTGTCCACAGCCACCCTTTGCTCACTGGTGGATTCAGTCCCAGGTCCTGCTACCCATGACATCCCTAGTGTCCAACCACCACCTTCCTCTCCCCTCACCCAGGTACTATCGTTTCAACGAGGAGCTCAGGGCAGTGGACAGCGAGTACCCCAAAAACATCAAGGTCTGGGAAGGAATCCCTGAGTCTCCCAGAGGGTCATTCATGGGCAGCGATGAAGGTGAGAGGGGCAGGGGAGGTGTGTAAGGGGAGGATGGGAACAGGGAGTTAACGAAGAGCCGGAGAAAAGCCAAGAGGACAGGATTGTGTGGGAGAGAATGGTCATCACCCATGGCGGGGTCCTTGCCATGTGCCAGGCACAGGGCCTAGAGCTTCCCACGCCTCAGACCCCAGTGGTAGCATTACCCCAATTACAGCCGAGGAGACCGGTGCTCAGAAAGATTAAGAGATGAACTCAACAGGCTTGCACACTGACGGATTTCCCTTCTGCTCTTCTTTCTTCGGGTCTTCTGGATGCTGCCACCACCTGTCTTCCTTGTCACCTTATTGCCGGCCCCCCCAGTCTTCACCTACTTCTACAAGGGGAACAAATACTGGAAATTCAACAATCAGAAGCTGAAAGTCGAGCCGGGCTACCCCAAGTCAGCCTTGCGGGACTGGATGGGCTGCCCATCAGAGGGCAGGCCAGATGAGGGGACTGAGGAGGAGACGGAGGTGATCATCATCGAGGTGGACGAGGAGGGCAGCGGGGCCGTGAGTGCCGCTGCCGTGGTGCTGCCCGTGCTGCTGCTGCTGCTGGTGCTGGCAGTGGGCCTCGCGGTCTTCTTTTTCAGACGTCATGGGACCCCCAAGCGACTGCTCTATTGCCAGCGTTCCCTGCTGGACAAAGTCTGACCCCCACCGCTGGCCCACCCACTCCTACCACAAGGACTTTGCCTCTGAAGGCCAGAGGCAGCAGGTGGTGGTGGGTGGGCTCCTCCCACCCCTCCCCAAGCCCCCTCCTGCCCCTCACTCCCTGCCTCCCACCTTTGTCCCGTGACTGGCCTCTCTACCCTCCACCCTGGCATCGCTACTTCCCTAGATGGGTCCCCTGGGGTTCAAGAAGGTCCACCCCTTCCAGCCCCTGCCCCTCAAGGGAACCCTGTAGCTTGGTGTGTGTCCACCCCCATCTGAATGTCTTGGCTCTGCACTTGAAGGCAGGATCCTCAGACCTCGCTGGTAAAGGTCAAATGGGGTCATCTGCTCTTTTCCATTCCGTGACATACCTTTAACCTCTGAACTCTGACCTCAGGAGGCTCTGGGCACTCCAACCCCCTCTGGCCCCCAAGTGTAGCCAATGGGCAATCTCCCACCACTCTCTGTGGCTAAAGGAAATCTAGCCTTGTTGTGGGGGTGACCCTGAGAGAGTGAGTGGGTGGGGGCTGCGCAGCCAACCTAAGACCTTGGGAGGAAAGCTCAGAGCGGCTCAGTCCACTGCACAAAGACCTGCTTCTGCCTCCCTCCCCACCTTCCACGGAAGGAGCCTGAGCCATTGAAGACTAAACTGGGGCTGCAGAAACCCATCAGCCCTACCCTCCCAAATGTTAGCCATGGACGGGGATGTCAAGGTTGGAAGAGCTGAGACCTGGGGGTGCAGACACTGGGGTGTGAGGCCAAGGGGAGAGACTGTGGGGGTGAGCCAGAAGACCACACAAAGGAAGAACTTCATTCAAATGCAGGCGGCTGGGGCAGGGGCCCAAGGGCAGAGCAGCCAGAGGGGACAGGACTGGACGAGACCAAAAGGAGGTGCAGCAGGTGTGGATGGCTGGAGGCCGGGCAGGCCAGGAGGCATGCCTCGGGCGGGCTGTGTGCCTGGGAGGACACATTCTCCTGGAGCACTCAGGAGGGGCACACCTGTTCCTCATTCGAGGCTTTCCTCTGACCAGACAGCCTGAGGGGTAGGGAGGATGCCCAGAGGAGGGAGTAGAGACGTCATATGTGGGGACTCGGCCTTTGAAGAGAGCAGCCACCTGGTAAGGGAGCGGCAGAGACTGGCGGTGCTGTCTGGGCCTCAGCCAGCCGTAGGGGGAGACAAGTGCCTGGGGGTTAGGTTAGCCCCTCGTTTCCTGATGCCCCTGCCCCTCAGCCCATCCTACTGGTTTTCTGCCCCCTTCTCCCCCATCCAGCCTACCCATTTGGAAGTCCCCTTCAGCCACCAAAGGTGGTCATGGTACTGGGGACTTGGGCGTGAGAGAGACCCTATGGGGGAAGTGAGAGGAGAGGGATGTCGGGGGGCTATGGGGGGTGGGAGAAAATGGGGTGAACGGTGCTGGCAGTTCGGCTAAATTTGTCTTGTTTGGGTTTTTTTTTTTGTTTGTTTAATGTATATTTTTATTATAATTATTATATATGGATTTCCTTCAAATTGTTCCTTTTTGTTAACAAGGGGCATGGGGGGGTGGGGGGCAGAGGCATGGACCCCAGGAACCTGCAGGGCGGGGCTGGGTCAGTGACCTCTAAGGACAGTTTTGACCTTGTTCAACCTTTCCACAAAGAATAAACGGTGTTCACATTCTTTGTGTGGCTGCAGCTCTCTCATAAGGGTGAATGGGACGTGGCCAAGAGGGGAATGGAAAGGGGAGAACAGGCCTCATGAGCAGTGTTTTCCATGAGGTGGGGTTTTGGCACCATTCAGAAAGGAATATGTTTATTCTTAATGGATGAAAGGGATTTGAGGAGCCAGAATTGGGAAGGAGGGCATAATCCACAGAACTGGGGACTGGTCCACAGAACCAGCTGCTCTCTCCCAGCGTGGCTTAAAATTCTATCTTTGAGGCCCAGGGCTGCCAAAGGCAAGAAGAAGTAGTCAGGCTGAGGCCTCACAGAAAATCTTCCTGAATTGCGTTACTCCTGTGATCTGACCACAGACCCTCAGTTTCCTCAGGCTTCAGCCTGCTGCCAGGTGATGTCAGGATCAAATTGGGGGTCACAGTGGCAGACACTTCACCCCAGGCCTCAGGATCTAAGAATCTTCCAGGCCCAGGCCTCCTCTGCTAGCGCAGAAGTTAACACAGGAGAGAGCGGTTGCCCCACGGCCAATTAGGAGCAGCTTATGTCTCACCCCAACTGCCCAGGAGGGCCAGGATGGTCAGGTTGGAAGGGTAGAATAACAAGGGTTTTGTTTCCTCTTTCCTTAAAAACTGCTGCCCCAGACAGGGTTCCCAGGCTGTGGGCCCACCCTTCCTCCAAACCAGCCTAGAGGGAGGAATCACTCAGCTGCTGAGTCAGCTCAGCTGGAGGGGAGCAGCCTTCTTTCCCTCTTCCCTTCCTGCCTCAGCCCAGCCCAGCCCAGCCCAGCCCAGCCCACCCCGGCTCCAACCCAGGCCCCCTCCACAGCCTGCCTCCAGAGCTCTGGCCCCACGTAGGCCAGGCTTTCTCTCCAGCTGCTATTCAGGGCTGCTTGGTGTGATTACTTTGGCAGAAGGGGTACCCCACCTTCCTGCCAGCCAGGAACCCTGACCCTCTTGCCTGGCCTCCTGCACCTCTCCTGCCAACAGCTGTTTGGCACAACTTGTGTTTCTCAGTGGAGTTGGTCACCACCTTCTCTCACCCGCACCGGAGGGGTCTGGGACCCTGAAAAGCTGGCATGGGGAAGTCAGGGTGTTTGGGGGTCGTGGGGCCTATGCGTGTGGCAAGGAGCTCAAATATGAGCTCATGGCCCCTTTGTGTTTTTGTGGCCCACATCTGGAGGCAATTACAGATGTTATCCAGTGGGAGTTCAGCAAAACACAGCTGGAGCCAGTGGAGGAGCCTGGGGAGGGGGGACTGCCAGAGGGAAGAGGAGGGGAGCCTAGGGCTCCCGCGGCTGGAGTGCGGTTTCCCCATCACGAGGAAATTGTTTGGCCCTGATTCTGGAATCACAAGATGCTCTCTCAAGCCAAGAGGGGAATGGAGGACCAGAGACAAAGGGAGAAGAGGTAGGAGAGCGCTTCACAAGCAGGGAGAATTGTGGGGTGTTTCCGATGCCCCTAGGGAAAAAGAGCTCTCCCACTGAGTCTTCCTGGAGACCCCAGAAGGTGCCTAATCCCACTGGGCTAGGCTGGGGTCAGGGGAGAGCAGAGGGCCCTTTGGCTCCCAGAGACCTACAAACGCTGGCCCTATCCTGCTTTGTCCATCGGGCCTGACCCAGTTTCTATGGTTCCAAGTTCCTTTATTCGAAAGCAGCACATGTGAGCTAGTGCAGCCAGAAGGGAGCCAAGGGGAATCTGCAAGGAGGTTTGGGCAGAGCCCTGGGAAGCAGCTTTAAGATGGACTGGGGGCAAGTACCTGAGGGGCAGCAGTGCTCTGACCACCACTGCACCCACATGTTTGGAATAGGGAGCCATGGATTCCCTTGTCATCACCTCCCTTCTCCAGGACTCCTGCCACCAGCTGGGCCCACGCCTCTGCGGCTGCCAGCCAGGCGTTAGATCAGAGAGATGGAAGGGAAGGGACGGGAAGACCTCAGGGAGCTGGGCCCTCTAGAAGAGAGGACAGGGGAGAATGACTCCACACACAATCTGGCCAACTCAGGTCCTTCACTGTCCTCCCCTCAGGGCCTCTTCTCGCCACAAGCTGATGGACTTCCCTGTCCTCTCTTTCCCCTCTGCATCCCTTTTACCCTTCCAGCTAAGGGGAGGTGGTGAGAAACCAACTTTTGCTGAGGTTCTCCAACACCAACATTGCCCCCATTTTACAGATGTGGAAACTGAGGCCCAGATAAGACTTGCTCAAAGTCATGGCTTCCTGGTCAGAATTAAAACCCAGGTCCGTGATTTGTTTTTCTATACAGGCAGATTCTAACCACGTCCTTGGGTGTCGCTCCCGATATGGACCCGGAATAAGTGTTATGTTCTGGAAACCTCCTAGCAGATGTGTGTTTGTCTGTTGTGCATAGTAGCAGTGGCACCACAGGGAGTGGGGGCACAGGGGGAGCGGGCTCTTCCTCAGGAGTCCACTTTGCCAGCCTTCTTGGGGGCAGGAACAGGTACTCCAAGGCAAGGAGGGAGGCATCAGGCATCGGGACTCAAATGTATCCAGAAAGAGTCTAGAAGGGGTATCTAGAAGCCACTATCTAGAAGGGCTCTGTCTGACTCATGAATGTTCAACAAAGCCAATTAGATTTCAAAAAAGAAAAGAAATCTGAGGGGCCAAGTGGGACAATGGTTGCTGGGAGGGGAGAAGGGAGGGATGGGATGGGGAGGAGGAGGAGAGTCTTTAGGGCTCTTCTCATTCCCGAAAGCCCCAAGGAATCTCCCCCTCAGGGCTGATCCATTGTCCTAAGTCCCTGTACCCCTTTCCTACCCACCCACCCCACAAATCCAAATCTACTTCCTTTAGAATACCAATTCCTGCACACCTAGCCTGGGGCATTCTGCTTTCCTCCCTCGGGCAGTTTTAGGAGGCTGGGGACACCCAGAGGCTAGGCGGCCTGTGAGGGGGCTGGGCTGCTGGGCCTTGGAAGGGAGGCAGGCCTGCCTGGCCAGAAGCCACCTTCCAAATGAGCTCACATACATACTTTCCACCCTGGCCCAGGGCCTGCAGCTCAGCTCCTTCCAGTCCAACCTTCCCCCAGCCAGGCCCAGCCCCCTCTGTCCTCCCTGCCCCTCACTAGTCCTGAACCCAGGGCGCCACAACATCAACAGGCACCTCAGGCCAGGGCTGGCTCCATCAAAGAAACAGCTTTCTCAGTCTCCATGCTAAGAGGTGCCCCCAGGTCCCTTATTCCTAAAATGGAAACTTCTTGGCTTAGAGATGGAGGAGACCAGCTTCCTGCCCCCAAAGATTCACACCTGTGTAGGGAGGGCTTTAGAGGGGACAAGAGAGGTGTGCGCTGTACTGAATTGGCGGAAGGACTTCCTTTAAGTGCCTAAAGTAGTTGGTTGACTCAGGGACCAGGTTAGGTCTGGAAGCTGCCTCATCATGTGTGTGGGTCACTTCCTGACACTTACTCGATTTCCCGCTAGGAGCACTTTCCAGATTTGGGGCAGGATAGGATCTGGGTGGGGCAAGCCAGGCTGACCACAAACAGGGAGAAAGACTGGTGCCTCTTCAGCAGGAAGGATTCACACGCACGGGACAGACTCCAGCTCACTTTGATATAGCCTGCGGTCAAAAGCGTCACCCTCAACCGACTTCCAGAGACTTGCAGCACCAGGCCACAGAGCAAGATCAATTCCCCAAAATGCCCTCCACGGACACTCAGGGCCCTGCTCTGTGCTAGCAGTCAGGTTTCTGGTACCCTATCCTGGATCCAATAATATCCTCCTGACCTTTTGTGAATTATATATTCAGACATGATCGACAACTCATCCCATTTGAATTCCCAAAATATAACCACTGCAAACAGATCACATGCCCAGATGTTGCCTTCCAAGGCACTGAAGTATGGTTCTCAAAGAATGACTATGATCCTTAATCGTACCAACCCCATCATGGCCCCTGGACGAACACATTTTGTCCACACTTCTCTTACAAGAGAGTAGGATGGTGCTAGGCACACAGGTGACCCTCCAAAAAAGTTTACTGATATGAATTGCCAGTGAGAAGTGTGACATACACAAGTAAACAGCAATAGTTGTGAATATAATATTCTATACATACATACATATAAGTAGTGAACCATAAGTCAAAAAAAATAATGGAGATGTACACTTAAGCTTAGTGCATGTTATGAACTAGATACATTTTATTCCACCTCAATTGTTTTTTTTTAAAAAGATTTATTTATTTTTGCATAGAAGAACTGGGGTG